GCATGTGTATAGCATACAACTCTCTTTGAACGTAGCACACAATACCGTCATGCATTGTCTCATCCCCCTTGAAAGATAAGGCAACCTGAAAGTCACGAACACATCATCATGGCATATGAGAGGCCAAGTACCCCTCTCTATAGTTCCACTCTTATTTCATGAATATCGGATTTAGATGAGATACTGCAGCAGAAATATCAACAAGTTGCTTGAAAAAATATAAATCATTTCCTTTTTCAGTTAAAAACAACAAACTGGTTGTCAAAGTTTAGAAATTTTACTAATTTCATGAAATAATGGAACTTTATTTATACGAGATATGTACAACATATTTGAAAAAGTCGTATCCCTTGGTAAAGAAACACTATTAAAGAGTATGTGAAGTAATCTTCACTATGACGTATATTACACCTAATAATTATTTTGGAGGAGTCTAATGTGATTAAATTCATAAAGCAAGGCTTTTCTCTCATTCATCAGTCAGTGTAATACTTCAAGTATCAATCTGTAAAACAAACAGTAAATACTCAAATCAACAGTTATTTACTGACCTACTGACCTTTGATCCAAATGAATGAAGATTATTGAAGGAAAATTAATTTAGGTTATTGATGTAAGGTAAGTTTATTAGTATATAACAAATGGATTCTGAATCAACCATATAAAGTGTTATAATCACTGGGAAAATTGAAGCCTCAAAGTGTAATTCTATATGGCGTTGTCAGCGACCATCACTAGGTCCCATATTAGAGTCGATCAATTGTTCATTACTCTTGTGACTTTTGTCGTAATCTACTTGTCATATGTCATATATGTCATATGAATACTCATCACCTTATTTATTTATTTATTTATTTTACACCTCTATGACCTTTAATGACCTTTAATTATTGTAACCAAAACATTTTATCCGTCTTACTATATTCACTAAATCTATTGTTGTTATTCATATTACGTAATCCAGTATTATAATCTTGGTTATTAGTGTTCACATTTCCTCACGGAATTACTACTTTAACAAAACATTTTCATATATATATATATACGATTGTACAGCTTGAGAATAAATTCGTTGAAAAGAGATCCCTTCGCTGAAATCTGTGTTTTAATTTTATATGTCGGTTTACCTTGTATTTACTTATTTATCATTTTTCAATTCTTGAACTCAACTAGATCATATTTTGTCACTTGTCTTTTAAACAAAGAACACTATATCAGAGATTGTAGCTTTTATTCGACTTTAAACTGTGTTGCCTCATATCATTTTTTTAACTCTGGACATTTCCCAATATCTACTTGAACTACTCACTAGTAGTAGGATTTCTTTACTTGTTTTACGTTACTTGTTAGGAATATGGAACACCTAGTGATACTCATATTCCTTTGCTCATTTCGAACAAATATCAGTCATGTGTTTGAAATTGTATTCGTAACGACATCAATTATAACACCTTACTTACCAATGCATGTTAATATTCGTGGCACAAGTACTGTTTTTTGCATTTGTTGGAAACCACATATAATTTGTATAAGTCATTCGCTTTAGTGTAGATGTGAATGTTGTCAGTTGGTATTCATTGTAAGTATTTTACAATGATAAAATTGATTGAGTTAATCAATAAAGGTGAAAATGATCATTTATAGACACCACATTTCATTTAAATTCAGGTTTTGAGCTAATATTGATGCAAACAATAATTCAAATTTGTGAGGGATTTTACCAACTGTAGATATTTTCTTGTTGAAATTCATGAAGTTACCTCTAAACCTTATGGATACGAATATGAGATTAACTATAGATTCTATTAATATTTTGGTGGATAAGAACTATGTGTGAAGACGTCTGCGGGCCGCAAAAATATATGTGGGTATATTTACATACACCTAGAATCAATACTATGACATTAACAATATAAGTGTACTCTGTTCTTTATAGTGATTTGCTTGATTTACAATGAATGAATGATAATAAGTAATCGACAAAATTTTTTTGAATAATAAGTTTCTATAAAGATACATAATCTGAATTATATTTAACGAAAACAGTATGAGGCCATTTTTTCACAAAGTCATTATTTCATGAAATAACCTTATGAATATAAAGTAATGAATATTGAAGATTTCATAATTTATATCAATTGAGTATTATTGATGATATAAATAATAGTTAAATGAAATTCAGACGTTTGACAGTGTGGATAGGAGAACATTACGGAAACTTCTTCGACACTATCGAGTTCTTCAGAAGATTGTCAACATCATCATGAATTCATACGACGGACGACAGTGCAAGGTGGTGCAAGGAGGACAACTGACAGACGCATTCCATGTGAAGACCGGAGACAGACAAGGCTGTCTACTTTCTCCCTTCCAGTTTCTTCTGGTGATGGACTGGATTATCAAGACCACGACATCTGAGAGTAAACACGGAATACAATGGACAATTGGGAATCAATTAGACAATTTGGACTACACAGATCACCTGACTCTTTCATCCCATACACACGAACAAATACAGATGAAGAAAACCAATGTAGCAGCAGCGTCTGCATCTTTACGCCTCAGCATACACAAAGGCAAAAGCAAGATCCCCAAATACAACACAGAGAACACCAACACAGTCACACTTGATGGAGAAACTCTGGAGGAGGTGGAAACATTCACGTACCTGGAAGCATCATTGATCAATAAGGAGGATCTGATGCAGATGTAATTGCGAGGATTGATAAAGCAAGGACAGCATTCCTACAATCGAAGAACATATGGAACTCAAAACAACTGTCAACCAATATCAAAGTGAGAATCTTCAATAAGAATGTCAAAACTGTTCTACTGTACGAAGCTGAAACTTGGAGAACTAATACAACCATGGTCAAGAAAGTACAAGTATTTATAAACAATTGTCTACACAAAATACTTGTTGGTCGTATACCATGATGAACAACCTCCTGTCAGAGAGGACAAACCAGGTTCCATCTGAAGAGGAAATTAGAAAGGCGTAAGTGAGTAAGTAAGTAAATGACATTCGATTTATATAGATTAAAACAAATACTTAATTTTTATGGATTATATTTAAGGACTAACCTCATCTTGATAAGTCTTGGAAACCCGAAGGCACTGGATGGGAGTTGTTTATCACTTTTAATTGATTGAAATTAGACATATATGCCATTAGTATCTGACCCAGTGGTCTAGATTTTAAGCGTTCGATCGCATGACCGAAAGTTCCGGGTTCGATTCCCTCTTTAGGAATCATGGATCCCGACTGCCGAGATGTCATATATTAGAATGAAGAAGCTGTTTAGTGTTTCTAGATGGTCAACAGTCGTCTACGGTGAATCAGTTTGTGATATAAACAATAAATATCCTACTGTTTAAACAAATACCTTTATACTAATATAATTTAGAAATTTTCGGATATTATCTGTAATGAGTTAAAATATTTTTCTCTATATCACATTTTTCTACATTGATCCTTTCCTGGTGTTACATAAAGAATAAAATAATGACATAAAGATATTGACAATAAATTTTTATAATCAATGTATACAAGCCAGAGGACACGATGGTTAACGGCGAAAAATGAAACATTAACTAAAAGATTAGTTGAGACAAGTACAAGAGCCCCTATATGGCATTATATAATGGATATAAAAAAAGGCCGTCGCCAATTTGATGTGATTTTATGCATGGCTTTTATTTATTTATTTACCAATCGAAATACTTTTCTAATATTAACACTGACAAATCAATGACGTTCAACTGTTATGAGCAGTCTAGCGTCCTTATTAGTCCTTTGTCCGCCTGGTCCTTCAAATTGAGTCCAGAACACCAATAACAATTTCTGATATGCGAATCATTTATTTCAAGCATACGTGGTTTATATACTAGACAGATAGATCGCCTCACACCATAAAGCAGAAAATAATATTTGTACAAGATCAAGCCAAATGTAGCTGTGAACGTGGGAGACGGGAATTAATAAACTGAATATACTTTGGGAACAGTAAATCGTATAATAATAATCTATAGATCAAAATGAAGCTTATAATAAGATAAATATAGATATACCCAATCTAATAACTTAATAGTTTAACCGTAAGAATATATATAGAATAATAGTCTATTATTAGGTCACGGGAGTTACCCGTACTTTCATCTTCACTAGGATATGACACATAAAATAGTCGACCTCTTTACCTACTTTGACATGAACAATTACTATATTTTAAAGGCTAAAACACATCTTCGCGTCTATCAATGCTTTTAGATAACTATGGACACAAGTTCTACTGGGTGAACATCGAAATATTGGGTTGAGGTGACCCAAAGAGTCTTAGCGAATTTTTGAAAGCCTGGTAGTACTATCAAACATCAGTCTGTAGGCATATATGAATCGACCAAATCTACTACCTAATCGAAATAAAGATCGACAACTTCAGTGTTTGAGATCAATTCAGGGATGAAAATAACTTGAAGAATCTGAGAAACAGTGGTCACACAATCATGGACAATAACCAGTCGAATTTCAGATCTACAGAACAATTTATTAGTCAGTAGTGCAGAAATTACAGCGGAAAAGGCTGCAAGAGAGGGAAACATGAGACAACTGTATGATACAACAAAGAATCTTGCTGGAAATTACCGTCAACCAGAAAGACCAGTGAAAAACAAGGAAGGCAAAGTAAAACAATTATATGAACGAAGAATATTCTTTTCAATAATTTCTCATCAGGTTCTACAATTATAAATTAATAATCCATAAAAGAAGATTGGCCAAGTTTAAGGCAGAGTACATCAATTGAAGAAACTGTAATATGTGAATCAAGGGTTGTTTGTCATATAAAATAAGATCGAATCGTTAATGTTTTTGGGATGACTAATATGAAGTGAATTAAAATCGTAAGATAAATTATCAGAATATATATAGTTGACATGGGGGTGAGAGATAGAACAATGGGATTACAAATCGGAAATTACGTAATATGTAGAATTATATAAATTAGGTCAGATATAGTAGATAGGGGGTGGATGATAAATAAATTTCTATAAAAGGTTAGCAGGTGTGATAATAATAATAAAGATAATAATAAGAATAAGAATAATGACTGATAAGATGTGTAGATAAGACTAAGATATAGAAATGAACATTAATCAAATTAATGTCACCTTATTACAAAATTGATTATTAACAAGTTGACCCTGAAGTTGGCCAGGGTAAAAGGAGTGGCTGTACATATTTCTTTTGGATGCAGAGCTCTGGCTTTTTGATCCGAATAGCAATTGCCTCAGCCGTCTGCAGGATTCTCTGTCTGACAGAATTAGGTAGACTGCTATTTACACGATATATTACTGTGAAAGATTGCTCAATGTCGGCTCTATGTCCCGTCTGAACTAAATGGGCTAAAACAGAGCTGTTAACCGTTCTGACTACACCTTTGCTTAACCACACTGGAAGGTGTTCACGAGCCCGAGTATACAAATTCCTAGAACATCTGCCTATATAACTTGCTCCACAGGAGCAGTTGAATTGATAGATACAGAAAGAAGTGGCTAGTCTAGGCAATTTATCTTTCAATGTCGGCGTGATCATTGGGCGTGTGGAAAACATTAGTTGTAGTTTACCTGCATTAAAAGTCCTTTCGATTGATCTTCGTAGTTTCAATCTTACCATTTCACCAGGTGCGTCACCTCTGAATTGTAGACGTATATACAGAGGTTTTTTATTCACAATTAAACATTCTTTATGGTCTCTTTTATTAGTAATGTTTTTATTTATAAATTTCTCCGGGTATCCATTTTCTCTCAGGGTCCTATATAATGCTTTTGTTTCTTCCTCGACCGTATCTTCAGAGCATATGGTCTTAATTCTATAGTGTAATGTCTTAATTAGGTTCCTTTTGTACTGTAGAGGAACAAAACTAAGAAAGTTAGTATACTGACCCGTCCACGATTTTTTCTTGTTTATATTTCTCCTTAATGAACCGTCTTCTCTCTTTGTAAGGAGAACATCTAGAAAAGCGATCCTACCTCCATTTTCCTCCTCACATGTGAAGTTAATAGACGGATGGGCTGTATTGAATAGCTGTAGTGTCTGCATTAAGTCAGTATAGTCGTTACATAGGATGAACGTGTCGTCCATATATCGGCAATAAAGTGAAAACTTTTCAATCTGTCGTGTGAGTGGTCCGTTTTCTAGTTTCGCGAGAAAAATATCAGCCAATATGGGACCTAGGGGTGAACCCATCGCGACCCCATCTATTTGTCTGTAGATTTCACCATTGAATTTGAAATGTACATTCATAGTACATTTTAGTAGCAATTCTTTGATGGTCTCCACAGGGACTGTAGTTACTACTTCCTGTTCTCTAAGCTGTTCACAAATATATTCTACAGTCTCTCTGAGTGGTACATTTGTGAACAATGACGTTACGTCAAAGGACATCATCTTTAGACCTTTGGTGTTTATGTTTTTAATCTTCTCGACGAATTGGAATACATCCTTAACACTGTGCTTTACTAGTTGTTTGTGAAGTGGTTTTAAAACGGTTACTAACCACTTTGCTACCGTATGGTAAGGAGAATCGTACATGTCTAAAATTGGTCTCAATGGGATATCAGGTTTATGTACCTTCGGTAGTCCGTATAACCTAGGTAAATGAGTACCTGTCGGCCTGATTGATTCATATATGTCTGGTGGAATTATCTGTTGATCTCTGAGCTTTTTTAAAGACCTGGTCAGTTCATTTTCTATCTTAATATTGACATCTTTTTGGTTATTCAATTTCTGAAATTTTCGGTGATCATTCAAGATGTTATTCATCTTGTCAATGTAGTCATTTCTATTAAGTAAGACAGTTCCTGTTCCCTTGTCAGGTTTTGTGATAATCAGGTCCCATATTGGCTGATATTTTTCTCGCGAAACTAGAAAACGGACCACTCACACGACAGATTGAAAAGTTTTCACTTTATTGCCGATATATGGACGACACGTTCATCCTATGTAACGACTATACTGACTTAATGCAGACACTACAGCTATTCAATACAGCCCATCCGTCTATTAACTTCACATGTGAGGAGGAAAATGGAGGTAGGATCGCTTTTCTAGATGTTCTCCTTACAAAGAGAGAAGACGGTTCATTAAGGAGAAATATAAACAAGAAAAAATCGTGGACGGGTCAGTATACTAACTTTCTTAGTTTTGTTCCTCTACAGTACAAAAGGAACCTAATTAAGACATTACACTATAGAATTAAGACCATATGCTCTGAAGATACGGTCGAGGAAGAAACAAAAGCATTATATAGGACCCTGAGAGAAAATGGATACCCGGAGAAATTTATAAATAAAAACATTACTAATAAAAGAGACCATAAAGAATGTTTAATTGTGAATAAAAAACCTCTGTATATACGTCTACAATTCAGAGGTGACGCACCTGGTGAAATGGTAAGATTGAAACTACGAAGATCAATCGAAAGGACTTTTAATGCAGGTAAACTACAACTAATGTTTTCCACACGCCCAATGATCACGCCGACATTGAAAGATAAATTGCCTAGACTAGCCACTTCTTTCTGTATCTATCAATTCAACTGCTCCTGTGGAGCAAGTTATATAGGCAGATGTTCTAGGAATTTGTATACTCGGGCTCGTGAACACCTTCCAGTGTGGTTAAGCAAAGGTGTAGTCAGAACGGTTAACAGCTCTGTTTTAGCCCATTTAGTTCAGACGGGACATAGAGCCGACATTGAGCAATCTTTCACAGTAATATATCGTGTAAATAGCAGTCTACCTAATTCTGTCAGACAGAGAATCCTGCAGACGGCTGAGGCAATTGCTATTCGGATCAAAAAGCCAGAGCTCTGCATCCAAAAGAAATATGTACAGCCACTCCTTTTACCCTGGCCAACTTCAGGGTCAACTTGTTAATAATCAATTTTGTAATAAGGTGACATTAATTTGATTAATGTTCATTTCTATATCTTAGTCTTATCTACACATCTTATCAGTCATTATTCTTATTCTTATTATTATCTTTATTATTATTATCACACCTGCTAACCTTTTATAGAAATTTATTTATCATCCACCCCCTATCTACTATATCTGACCTAATTTATATAATTCTACATATTACGTAATTTCCGATTTGTAATCCCATTGTTCTATCTCTCACCCCCATGTCAACTATATATATTCTGATAATTTATCTTACGATTTTAATTCACTTCATATTAGTCATCCCAAAAACATTAACGATTCGATCTTATTTTATATGACAAACAACCCTTGATTCACATATTACAGTTTCTTCAATTGATGTACTCTGCCTTAAACTTGGCCAATCTTCTTTTATGGATTATTAATTTATAATTGTAGAACCTGATGAGAAATTATTGAAAAGAATATTCTTCGTTCATATAATTGTTTTAATATGATGGGAATTTTTCAGCGATTAAAATCTTGTGATCAACCCATTGCGTTGAGGGCACTCAACGAGTACCTGAAGTATAACGCAAAGTTCACAGAAACGAAAACATCATTGGAATTTATGAGGAACTGTATTGAATCAGGGCATTATCCAAAACTATTCTATAAGTCACTACGCGGTAATCATGTTCATCCAAACAGAAAAACACTAAAACGCCATGCGCTTAATAAAATAGATACATTAAATAATGATTTGACGGAAATAGAAGTAAACATTGCTCGCAGAAAATTTGCAGTTGATGAATTAACAGAAGACCTTAAGTCCCAGTTTTTGGATTACGTCACAAAGATAACGAAAGAAAGATCAGACAAGAAACATATCCAACTTCTCAAAAGCCTGGAGAACCAAGCGGTTGAGAATAAATTTCCGACTGAACCGAAAAGGTATGTGCATAATTTCTCCAGTAAAGAATTAAATAAAGAAAAACTTGAAGTATTAGCACTAGGTCTAAAATTTTATGATACACGAAACCGCGTACACCATATGGATACTGACATCTAATTTGAAAATCTAAATTGTCAGACATCCGATCTAGTTCCAACTTCGGATCTGGAACTTGAACGTTTCAAAGCAAGCATCGTTGAGTGTTGCTATCAGTTTAAGAATAGTAAATATAACTATAGAAGTATTTTGACTAAAAAACATAAGGAGGCTATCAATGAACTTATTAATGACGAGGACCTGATTATCACAAAACCCGACAAGGGAACAGGAACTGTCTTACTTAATAGAAATGACTACATTGACAAGATGAATAACATCTTGAATGATCACCGAAAATTTCAGAAATTGAATAACCAAAAAGATGTCAATAATAAGATAGAAAATGAACTGACCAGGTCTTTAAAAAAGCTCAGAGATCAACAGATAATTCCACCAGACATATATGAATCAATCAAGCCGACAGGTACTCATTTACCTAGGTTATACGGACTACCGAAGGTACATAAACCTGATATCCCATTGAGACCAATTTTAGACATGTACGATTCTCCTTACCATACGGTAGCAAAGTGGTTAGTAACCGTTTTAAAACCACTTCACAAACAACTAGTAAAGCACAGTGTTAAGGATGTATTCCAATTCGTCGAGAAGATTAAAAACATAAACACCAAAGGTCTAAAGATGATGTCCTTTGACGTAACGTCATTGTTCACAAATGTACCACTCAGAGAGACTGTAGAATATATTTGTGAACAGCTTAGAGAACAGGAAGTAGTAACTACAGTCCCTGTGGAGACCATCAAAGAATTGCTACTAAAATGTACTATGAATGTACATTTCAAATTCAATGGTGAAATCTACAGACAAATAGATGGGGTCGCGATGGGTTCACCCCTAGGTCCCATATTGGCTGATATTTTTCTCGCGAAACTAGAAAACGGACCACTCACACGACAGATTGAAAAGTTTTCACTTTATTGCCGATATATGGACGACACGTTCATCCTATGTAACGACTATACTGACTTAATGCAGACACTACAGCTATTCAATACAGCCCATCCGTCTATTAACTTCACATGTGAGGAGGAAAATGGAGGTAGGATCGCTTTTCTAGATGTTCTCCTTACAAAGAGAGAAGACGGTTCATTAAGGAGAAATATAAACAAGAAAAAATCGTGGACGGGTCAGTATACTAACTTTCTTAGTTTTGTTCCTCTACAGTACAAAAGGAACCTAATTAAGACATTACACTATAGAATTAAGACCATATGCTCTGAAGATACGGTCGAGGAAGAAACAAAAGCATTATATAGGACCCTGAGAGAAAATGGATACCCGGAGAAATTTATAAATAAAAACATTACTAATAAAAGAGACCATAAAGAATGTTTAATTGTGAATAAAAAACCTCTGTATATACGTCTACAATTCAGAGGTGACGCACCTGGTGAAATGGTAAGATTGAAACTACGAAGATCAATCGAAAGGACTTTTAATGCAGGTAAACTACAACTAATGTTTTCCACACGCCCAATGATCACGCCGACATTGAAAGATAAATTGCCTAGACTAGCCACTTCTTTCTGTATCTATCAATTCAACTGCTCCTGTGGAGCAAGTTATATAGGCAGATGTTCTAGGAATTTGTATACTCGGGCTCGTGAACACCTTCCAGTGTGGTTAAGCAAAGGTGTAGTCAGAACGGTTAACAGCTCTGTTTTAGCCCATTTAGTTCAGACGGGACATAGAGCCGACATTGAGCAATCTTTCACAGTAATATATCGTGTAAATAGCAGTCTACCTAATTCTGTCAGACAGAGAATCCTGCAGACGGCTGAGGCAATTGCTATTCGGATCAAAAAGCCAGAGCTCTGCATCCAAAAGAAATATGTACAGCCACTCCTTTTACCCTGGCCAACTTCAGGGTCAACTTGTTAATAATCAATTTTGTAATAAGGTGACATTAATTTGATTAATGTTCATTTCTATATCTTAGTCTTATCTACACATCTTATCAGTCATTATTCTTATTCTTATTATTATCTTTATTATTATTATCACACCTGCTAACCTTTTATAGAAATTTATTTATCATCCACCCCCTATCTACTATATCTGACCTAATTTATATAATTCTACATATTACGTAATTTCCGATTTGTAATCCCATTGTTCTATCTCTCACCCCCATGTCAACTATATATATTCTGATAATTTATCTTACGATTTTAATTCACTTCATATTAGTCATCCCAAAAACATTAACGATTCGATCTTATTTTATATGACAAACAACCCTTGATTCACATATTACAGTTTCTTCAATTGATGTACTCTGCCTTAAACTTGGCCAATCTTCTTTTATGGATTATTAATTTATAATTGTAGAACCTGATGAGAAATTATTGAAAAGAATATTCTTCGTTCATATAATTGTTTTAATATGATGGGAATTTTTCAGCGAGGGCAAAGTAATCAACGATATTGAAGAACAACGAAACAGGTGGGTAGAACACTTCAAAGTACTCTTGAATCGACCAGCTCCACTGAACCCACCCAACATCGAAGCAGCACTCACAGACCTCCCAATCGATATTGGCCCATCAACAATTGAAGAGATCAGCATAGCCATTAGACAAATCAAGAGTGGCAAAGCAGCGGGACCAGACAACATCCCGGCAGAGGCACTGAAAGCAAATGTAACAGCAACTGCCAAGATACTCCACATCCTCTTCGGTAAGATTTGGGACGAAGAACATGTACCAACAGACTGGAAAGAAGGACTTCTCATCAAGATACCAAAGAAAGGCGATC